CAATATTAGCGAACTGTTGGATAGTTCACGAAATACATAGTAATAATAGCCACTGAATATAAACACCAAATAATAGTTATCAGGTTTGGGCTCAGAATCGCTAACCAATTGCCGATTCCTATTGAGTGTTACGGAGAACCCGGAGTCAATGTATTTTAAACGGGCACTCATTTCTCCAATATAAAAGTCAATGAAGTCACCTGGGTTAGTTAAATGGGTTGATAATTATGTTTAAAATGACATAAAATTATGGTATAAGAATAATACCTAAAAATAGGTCTGTGAAGGGAAACTCCTTATACTTTTGCTGCCATACCCTACGACTGTCAATAACTTGCGGTAACTGTTGGTGTTTCATGGGGTACACCATTGAACGTCTAATTATGTAAGTAGTGGTCGGAGTTTGAAACACTTTGTCAATCAAATTGATATTACTTTTCATTAAACGTTTGTCACAAAAATGATTGTGTGGGTGATGTTGACTGTGAGCTGGTGTTATCAAAGTAATTAAAGTAACTACAATTAATATTGACTTGAATATCATTTTTATTTATTTTATATTTTTAAAATTAAAAATAATTCAAAATTAAGTCTAACATGACACAGATTTTTTTGGTTATAAAAGTTTATGACTACAGTTTAAAAATAAATACAAAATACTACCGTATGCATTGTAATTTGTTTACAGTTTAGTAATAAATTTAATGTTATTTTAAAAATAATTGTTATATAGTTAGTCATGTTGCATAAATATTTTTAATTTATTAATCAAATTAATTTACAATATAAATAAATTAAAGAATTTTTGGGTTAATTGTGTGAATTATTGTAATAATTTATTACTATATTTACAGTATATAATATGATTCATTGTTATCATTTTGTTTGCAATAATTGTTTTCTTGGTTACAATCAGTGAATCCAAGGAAGTGACAGTAACTGTTAATATATAATCAGGTACTCGGGTATCTATTATACTGTATTCAGTTTTATGTTATACTAAATGTTTTACTGTTGTTAGTAAAAAGTTTAAACGTTTGTTGAGTTTAATTGAAGTCAGTATGAGTGCTAATGAAACCAACCTTGATGATCAATTAAAAGCACAATTGACTGAAACAAACAAAATAGGATCTGGAAAATTTGGTTCGGTTTACAGAGTGACCAAGGACCATATTAAATATGCTCTCAAGGAAATCCAATTGACAGGTATTATAACTTATTAATGCCGTAGTATTATAATTTATACCATAGTTTTATTATAATTAAAATGACTGTCATTTACAGATGAACTGAATGAAAATGAGAAGAAAGATCTCAGAGAGCTGTCAATCATGAAAGAGTTGAACAACAGCCATGTGGTCGGGTATGTCATGTCGTGGACTACACCCACCGTTATATACATAATGATGGAGTTGTGTGAATGCGATCTCAATGAATTGATTGAGTCAATGACAGCCATATTTAAATGCGCCGACAATGTAGAGCCCAACCATTTCGAGTACTTCGTGTCGTATCATATATTTCATGAGATAGCACAGGGAGTCCATTATATTCACACCCAAACACCCCCTGTAATGCATCGGGACCTTAAGCCACCAAATATCCTGATGGCCAGCGATGGTAGTTTGAAGCTAGGTGATTTTGGGTTGGCTAAAGTTAGGGACAAAGGGTCGATGACACACACGGTAGGGGCGGGCAACGAGACTTATATAGCGCCTGAAGTTAGCGAACCTAAACGATTACGCCACCACTACAATGAATTGTGTGATATGTATAGCCTGGGTATGATTGGACAGACAGTTTTTATATGTGATTTGTAAGTATAATTAATTCTATACTAGACTTAAATTTTTATAATTTAAATAATTAACTAACTTTTAATCTTGATAAGTTTGGCGATACCAAATGAAAGTGACTCGCAAAGGATCACAGGTTTGCGGAATATAATGAACCTGCTCATTCATCGCAAACCTAATAGTAGACCAAATAGTGTGAAACTGTTGGAAATGTTGAGCGAAATTGAGGAAATAGATGATAAGAAAGTTTTGGATGAATACAAGGATTATGAAAATGGTTTAAACAATTCCCATAAATTTCTAAATCAATTTGTATCCATCAGAATTAATAAACTAAAGTAAGTTAATTATTTAAATGATAATAGTTCATGTTTAACTTAAATATTTGTATAAAAAAATTGTTGTTACTTTTATTTTAATAAAATAATTATTTATCATTTTAATTATGATTATTAAATAATTAATTAATTAAAAATGTGTATTATTACTATCATCCGGTAAATAAATTGCAATATTTTTTATCTCATACACTAAAGAATTCCACTATACTTATTTAATTATTGAGTAAAAGTGTTATATATTTACAAAATACATTTATTAAATTATCAAATATTGATTGTAAAATTTTATTTAGCGTATTTAATTTAGTAAATTTATTTTAATTATTTAAATGAAAATTTATAGATTAAATACTTATAAAAAAGTTTATTTATCTCTACGTTATCTAAAATATTTATTCTGTGAAATACAATGAATCACTTCCGGAAATATTACGGCAATTGCTATTATCAGTCTCGTTATATTTATTATTGTAAAACAGGTAATAATAGCTCATTACTTCTCACAATTGCCTTAAAAGGTGTGAAATAGACTTAAAAAGTAAATACTGATAAGATTACCACAAAAAATGTGTAAATGTCTACAGTATATAAGTGGTAATTATTTGTTCATTTTATATAATACGTATTTCTAGAGAAAATCATATTGTCAATATGAGTGACAATAACAATATTTGTGATGAGGATTTAAACACATTTACGAACCAATTGACAGATGAACTAATAATAGGAACTGGATCATATGGAAACGTTTGTAAAGTGACCAAGGACCAAATTGACTATGCGTTCAAAGTGATTCAAATTAAAGGTACTAATACAGTATTATCTAATGTTATTTAAAATGTAATACAGTACTAATATAATATACTAAAATATAATGAACAATATATACAAATACAAATATATACAGTACAAAGTTTTAAACATTTAATAAAAACATACTAGTATGTAATTATATACCTTTAATTTATTCGCAGACCTGAATCCTGATGAATTGACTGCTGATGAACTGAGAGAGTTGTCAATCATGAAGAACCTGAAGGGTAATCATGTGGTCGAGTATAAGATGTCGTGGACTAGGGATGGCTTTTCATACATATTGATGGAGTTGTGTGAATGCAATTTGAATGTATTGATTGACTCCATGAAAGGGCTGACCAAATGTGACGACAATGTAGAGCCCAACCATTTCGAGTACTTCGTGTCGTTTAGTATATTCCATGAGATATCACAAGGAATCCATTATATCCACTCATTCAAACCCTATCCCATTATGCACCGGGACCTCAAGCCATCCAATATTTTAATGGACAGGAATGGTGTATTGAAGCTAGCAGATTTTGGTCTGGCTAAAGTGTTGTCGGACAAGGGGTCGGTCACACACACAGCCGGTGTGGGCTCGGAGGGGTTTATGGCACCGGAAGTAAGTCATAGCAGTAATAATCATCACTACAAACAGTCGGCCGATATATATAGCCTGGGTATGTGCGGCCAGAAAATATTTGTCTATAACCTGTAAGTGTGCTTGTTCATTTAGTTTTAAAGGTAGTAAATATATTATAATAATTGTTTCAATCATTTGCACAGTTTATCCGAAGCAAGTGTAACTGGAAGGATTCAATCTTTGCGCGATATTATAAATAAAATGATCAAGGTTAAATTTAGTGCTCGACCAAATAGTGCTGAGCTGCTAGAAATGCTGAGCGAAATTGAGCCTGTTGATATGGAATCAGTTTTGGCCGAGTACCTGGATTATAATGATGAGTTACAAAATAAACACAAAAATCTGTATACATACATATCCACCAAAATTGATAATCTATTGCAAAATATTTGATTTAAATGATACTATTATTACAATTTAAATTTATTTATTTGACTTTTTATAAGTTTATATTAGGTTGTAATTGGTATTTCTATAAATAATGACATTTTATATTTACAAAATAAATGATATCAATATAATTACAAAGATTTGTTAATTATATATCCAAAGAGTCGATGACAAACACTGTAGGGTGGGTTGGGAGACGTATATAACTCCCGAAGTTAGCGATCCTAATCATATTTCTAACAATTAGTTTAACCTGGGTATTATTGGACAGATTTTATAAATTATTTGTAAGTATAAATTACACTATAAAATAATACTAAACTATGATTTTTTGTAATGTAATTTATTATATAATTTTAATTTATATTGAATAATTAATTAATATTATTTAATCTTGATAGGTTTGGCAGTACCAAATAAAAGTGACTCGCAATGGGTCTCAGGTTTACGCGATATAATGAACCAGCTAATTAATCTCAAACCCTTTAGTAGACCAAATAGTGTGAAACTGTTGGATATGTTGAGAAAAAATGACAAAATAAATGATAAGAAAGTGTTGAGTGAATACAAGGATTATGAAGGAGTTTTGAATAATCACAATTAACTTGAAAAATTTGTATTAATCATGATTAATAAAGCTAAGTAAGTTACATAGTATAAAACTATATTTAATAAAATTATTTGTATAACAAAATTGTAGTTAATTTTATTATTTTTCTAAAATAATTATAAATCATTTAAATTATGTTCGAGATTGTATAAATAAATAAATAATTAAAATTATTAATTATTATTACATTATTTGATTGATTAAAAAATAAGTTCTTGAAAATGAACACTAAATTGATCAGTAAGTTATCTAAACTACTTATTCTGTGAAATACTTGAATGATTCATGAACTACCGGTAATATAACCATAGTTGCTATATCTGATATAGTATATCAGTTTCATTGTAGTAGTTGTGTTTATTATTGATATAACCGTAATATTTCTTATAATTACAAACAATGTGTGAAATATACTTAAAAGTAAATATTGATAAATATTAGTTTAACAGACAATGTATAACTATATAAGAATTAATTGTATGTTTATTTTATTATAGTATTTGTACAGAAAATAGTCAATATGAGTGACAGTCAAAATATTTGTGATGAGGATTTTCAAACATTTACCAACCAATTGACAGATGGACTAATAATAGGAACTGGATCATATGGAAATGTTTATAAAGTGACCAAGGACCAAATTAACTATGCATTCAAGGTGATTCCAATTGAAGGTACTAATACTATATTATCTAATGTTATTTAAAATGTATTGTAATATAATGATATACTAGTATATCATGAAAAAAGTGTTAAACATTTAATAAAATATACTAGTATATAATTATATACTCTTAATGTTATCTAATTATTCATTAGCAGACCAATTGAATCCTGATGAATTGACTGCTGATGAACTGAGAGAGTTGTCAATCATGAAGAATCTGAAGGATAATCATGTGATCGAGTATAAGATGTCGTGGACTAGGGATGACTTTTCATACATATTGATGGAGTTATGTGAATGCGATTTGAATGCATTGATTGACTCCATGAAAGGGCTGACCAAATGTGGCGACAATGTAGAGCCCAACCATTTCGAGTACTTCGTGTCGTTTAGTATATTCTATGAGATAGCACAGGGAGTCCATTATATCCACTCATTCAAACCCCATCCCATTATGCACCGGAACCTCAAACCATCCAATATTCTAATGGACAGGAATGGTGTATTGAAGCTAGCAGATTTTGGTCTGGCTAAAATGGTAGAAGGGTCGGTGACACATATGATGGATGTCGGCGCCGAAATTTATAGAGCGCCCGGAGTTTCCCAAAGTTCGCCTAATCCTCACTACACACAGTCCGCCGATATATATAGCCTGGGTATGTGCGGCCAGAAAATATTTGTCTATAACCTGTAAGTGTGCTTGTTCATTTAGTTTTAAAGGTAGTAAATATAGTATAATAATTGTTTTATCATTTGCACAGTTTATCCGAAGCAAATGTAACTGGAAGGATTCAAACTTTGCGTGATATTATAAATAAAATGATCACGGTTAGATTTAATGCTCGACCAAATAGTGAACGACTGCTAGAAATGCTGAGCGAAATTGAGCCAGTTGATAATGAAACAGTTTTGGCCGAGTACTTGAATTATACTGATGAGTTACGAAATGATAAACACAAAAATCTGTACACATACATATCCATCAAAATTGATAATCTATTGCAAAATATTTGATTTAAATGATACTATTATTACAATTTAAATTTATTTATTTGACTAATAAAAACTGAGCAGTAAATGGTATTTTTCTAAATAATGATTTTATATTTATTATTATATTATGTTGTCAATCATGAAGAACCTGAAGGGTAATCATGTGGTCGAGTATAAGATGTCGTGGAAGAGGGATGGGATTTCATACATATTGATGGAGTTGTGTGAATGCAATTTGAATGTATTGATTGACTCCATGAAAGGGCTGACCAAATGTGGCGCCAATGTAGAGCCCAACCATTTCGAGTACTTCGTGTCGTTTAGTATATTCTATGAGATAGCACAGGGAGTCCATTATATCCACTCACTTAAACCCCATCCCATTATGCACCGGGACCTCAAGCCATCCAATATTTTAATGGACAGGAATGGTGTATTGAAGCTAGCAGATTTTGGTCTGGCTAAAGTGATAGAAGGGTCGGTGACACATACGACGGGTGTCGGCACCGATATGTATAGAGCGCCCGAAGTTGGCCAAAGTTCGCCTAATCTTCACTACAAACAGTCGGCCGATATGTATAGCCTGGGTATGTGCGGCCAGAAAATATTTATCTATAACCTGTAAGTGTTTATATATTGTATATATATATTATATATATTGTCTACAGTTGAAAATTTTCATTTTGAACACATTCTGTTATTCATAAATTGAGTTACACTCGGTCACACTATCTATTATGATTGACAAATATTTGTTATATTAATTATAACACTAGCAATAAATGTAAATCTCAATAAAGTGTGATTTGGAGTAACTAAAATTCAGGGCAATACAATTTAGGTCCAGAATTAATTTTAAAAATAGTATAATAATTGTTTGAATTGTTTTCACAGCTTATTAGAAGCAAAGGCCACTGAATCTAAACGGATTCAAAGTATACGCGATATTATAATTCAATTGTGCACGGTTAAATTTACTAGTCGACCAACTAGCGAGGAACTGTTGAAAATGTTAAATGAAACTGAAAATGTTATTAATGATCTAGTTTTCAGTGACTATTCACAATACAAAGATGATTTGCTTGAAATTGACCATAAATATCTGGCTAAATACTTATCCACCAGAATGATCAACTGAAATTAACATTAAATAGTTAAACAATATCGTATTTAAAAACACTTATATGTATATATTTATTTTTTATGTGAAAATAAAATTTCAATTATTTATCAAATCAAAAATACATTAATTAATATTTTAATAGGATTGTTGCTTTTTATATTATGTGTTGTATTTTTAAAGTTAGTGATTGGAGTTTTAATGTCAATTTAAAAAATTATATTATTATTATTTTCGATTGATACCAGTATATTATACATTGGTATCATTTACATTTACCTCAGTAATTTATTAAATTGAGTAAAAGTGTTATGTATTTTACGTAATACAATACTAAAACATTAATGGCTAAATGATACTTAGTTTATTTGTAATTTCACAAATCCAATTAAAATTTATAAAGTTTAATTATCAGTTCGTTATCTATAGAATTAATTCAGTGAAATACTATGAATAACCACTACCGGTAATATTGCCGTAATTTTTATTATCTCATTTTATTTGCTATGTTTATGATTGATACAAAGGTATTGTTTTCACAATTACATTTAATGTATGAAATATATTATACTTAAAAGTAAATATTAATAAAATTGTGTATATTATGCAGAGTTGACCACATTGTCAGTTAAAAGTATAATTATTATATTATAGTGAACATGAGTGCCGGTGAATGTGAATGGAGTGGATTTGATGGGGAATTGAAAGCCATTGTCGCACAAGCGGTCGATTGGGACACAACACAAATGACAGCAAAAGAGCTGGGATTTGGTGATTATGGCACCGTTTACAAAGTGACCTCGGCTCATAATCAACATGTTGCTCTTAAAGTGATCCCGATGCTAGGTAGGGCTAACTCATTTTAATATAAATTAAAAAATATTTATATAAATCTAAATTACAGAACAATTGATTGAAAATAAGAAGAAATATCTCAGAGAGATGTCAGTCATGAAGAGACTCAACAACTATGATATTGTGGTGAAGTATATCAAGTCGTGGTCGACACCGCACTTCACGTACATATTGATGGAGTTGTGTGAATGCGATCTCAATGTATTGATTAAGTCAATGACAGACATATTTAAGATTAAAGACAATGTGGAGCCCAACCAGTTTGAGTACTTCGTGTCGTTCACTATATTCAATGATATAGCACAGGGAGTCCATTATATACATAGTCAGGATCCTCCGATTATGCACCGGGACCTTAAGCCAACTAATATACTAATGACCAGTGATGGCAAATTGAAGCTAGCAGATTTTGACCTGGCTAAAGTGTTGTCGGACACGATCACTAAATCCGGAAGATCGATTACTCACACGGCCGGTGTCGGTTCAGAGAAGTTTATAGCACCTGAGGTGAGTCATAGTAGTAATAATCATCACTACAACGAGTTGTGCGATATGTTCAGTTTGGGTATGATTGGCGAGGTCATTTTTATATTTAATTTGTGAGTATTGAATTAAAATATATTAAGTTATTTACTAGTTAATTAATTAGTTTATAATGTTTTACAGGTTGAGTGAATCAAATCCCGAAGAATCGCCAAGGATTACAAGTTTTCGCGATATTATTAGCAAGCTAATTACTGTCAAATTTAAAACTAGACCAAATAGTGAACGACTGCTAGAAATGCTGAGCGAAATTGAGCCAGTTGATAATGAAACAGTTTTGGCCGAGTACTTGAATTATACTGATGAGTTACGAAATGATAAACACAAAAATCTGTACACATACATATCCACCAAAATTGATCTATTGCAAAATATTTGATTTAAATGATACTACCGTGTGTCCATTATGTTACTCGCGGATTGGAGAGCTTATTACTTCAAAACTAAACTAGATAGAAAATTTAACTAAACGTGATTTAAAAGAGGAAAGTATAGCATTTTATAATAACTATTAATCAAATCTGAGCTAGTTCAATTAATAATTTATTTATAAGCAATCTTACAGACAAGGGTTACAGGTACAATCAAGAGAGCTAGATGAAAACTTATTATTATGAGTTTCTTGACAAAAGTATGATCTTTCATATGCACCCGGTATCATTTCATTCTGATGTCTGGTTCTTCCAAAACTTGCACTTGAATTTGATTGTCTTCAATGGAAAAATACATGGAACTTATTTTAAGCTTTAGTTTATTGTAAACGATAGTACCTAGGTAAATGTCTTCAATCGTAAAGTTAAAGTGGTTGCGATTAGCTTTCGATCGAATCATATATTATTTGTCTAGGTGCTTTGGTTCTTGCACAATTTTCATTTGAGTCAAAAACTACATTTCATATCTTTTATAATGGTTTTCCATATGTAAAGTATTGCTTTAAATGGGATTTGTAGTTTTTGACTCAAATGAAAATTGTGCAAGAACCAAAGCACCTAGACAAATAATATATGATTCGATCGAAAGCTAATCGCAACCACTTTAACTTTACGATTGAAGACATTTACCTAGGTACTATCGTTTACAATAAATTAAAGCTTAAAATAAGCTCCATGTATTTTTCCATTGAAGACAGTCAAATTCAAGTGCAAGTTTTGGAAGAGCCAGACATCAGAATGAAATGATACCGGGTGCATATGAAAGATCATACTTTTGTCAAGAAAATCATAATAATAAGTTTTCATCTAGCTCTCTTGATTGTACCTGTAACCCTTGTCTGTAAGATTGCTTATAAATAAATTATTAATTGAACTAGCTCAGATTTGATTAATAGTTATTATAAAATGCTATACTTTCCTCTTTTAAATCACGTTTAGTTAAATTTTCTATCTAGTTTAGTTTTGAAGTAATAAGCTCTCCAATCCGCGAGTAACATAATGGACACACGGTATTATTACAATTTAAACATATTTATTTGACTAATAAAAACTGAGCAGTAAATGGTATTTTTCTAAATAATGATTTTATATTTACATAATAAATAATATAAAAATTGCAAGTATTAGTGAATAATAATAATTAGTATTATATACATAACCAAAGAGTCAATGACAAACACTGTAAGGGTGGGTTGGGAAACGTATATAGCGCCGGGAGTTAGTGATCGTAAGGCAAATCATCATTACAATGAATTGTGAGATATGTTTAACCTGCGTATGATTGGACAGAAAGTTTTTATATGTGGTTTGTGAGTATAAATTACACTATATCAAATAATATTAAAGTATGATTTTTTGTATATAACTTATTATATAACTTTAAATTATATTAAATAATTAATTAATATTGTTTATTCTTGATAAGTTTGGTTATACCAAATGAAAGTGACTCGCAAAGGATCACAGGTTTGCGGAATATAATGAACAAGCTCATTCATCGCAAACCTAATAGTAGACCAGATAGTGTGGAACTATTGAAAATGTTGAGCAAAATTGACAAAATAGATGATAAGAAAGTTTTGGATGAATACAAGGATTATGAAAATGGTTTAAACAAATCGCATAAATTTCTAAATCAATTTGTATCCATCAGAATTAATAAACTAAAGTAAGTTAATTTTTTAAATGAGAATAGGGAATTCATGTTTAACTTAAATATTTGTATAATAAAATTGTTGTTAATTTTATTTTTATAAAATAATTATTTATCATTTTAATTATGGTTAGATAGAATAAATAATTAATTAAAAATGTGTATTATTATTATCATCATCCGGTAAATAAATTGCAATATTTTTTTATCTCATACTCTGAAGAATTTACTATAAAATACTTATTTAATTATTGAGTAAAAGTGTTATATATTTACAAAATACATTTATTAAATTATCAAATATTAATTGTAAAATTTTATTTAGCGTATTTAATTTAATATGAAAATATACAAAAATAATATGACACAGATTTTTTTGGTTATAAAAGTTTATGACTACAGTTTAAACTTTAAAGTAAATACAAAATACTATGCATTGTAATTTGTTTACAGTTTACAGTAATAATAAATTTAATGTTAATTTAAAAATAATTCTTACATAGTCAGTCATGTTACATACATATATTTTATTTATTAATCAAATTAATTTACAATATAAATAAATTAAAGAATTTTAGGGTTAATTCAATTAACTTAATTGTGTGAATTATTAGTAATAATTAATTTTATTACTATATTTACCGTATATACTATTATTCATTGTTATCATTTTGTTTGTAATAATTATTTTCGAAATAATTGTTTTCTTGGTTACAATCAGTGAATCCATGGAATTGACAGTAACTGTTAATAAATAACCAGGTATTCTGGTATCTATTACTATTATACTGTATTATGTTATACTAGTAAAAGGTTTAAACGTTTGCTGAGTTTAATTGGAGTCAATATGAGTGCTAATGAAACCGACTTTGATGATGAATTAAAAGCACAATTGATCGAAACAAACAAAATAGGAACTGGATCATATGGAAAAGTTTATAAAGTGACCAAGGACCATATCAAATATGCCCTCAAGGAAACCCAATTGGCAGGTATTGTAATTTATTTACAGTATTATAATTTATACAATGGTTACAAAAGGTTTTATTATAATTAAAATGACTGTTAATTACAGAACAACTGAATGAAAATGAGAAGAAATATCTCAGAGAAAAGGTGTCAATCATGAAAGAGCTGAACGACAACCATGTGGTGCGGTATGTCATGTCGTGGACTACACCCACCGTTATATACATAATGATGGAGTTGTGTGAATGCGATCTCAATGTATTGATTGAGTCAATGACAGCCATATTTAAATGCGCCGACAATGTAGAGCCCAATTTGACAACTCTCTCAGTTCATCAGCAGTCAATTCATCAGGGTTCAATTGGTCTGCTAATGAATAATTAGATAACATTAAGAGTATATAATTATATACTAGTATGTTTTTATTAAATGTTTAACACTTTTTTCATGATATACTAGTATTACAATACATTTTAAATAACATTAGATAATATAGTATTAATACCTTCAATTTGAATCACCTTGAAAGCATAATTAATTTGGTCCTTGGTCACTTTATAAACTTTTCCATATGATCCAGTTCCTATTATTAGTCCATCTGTCAATTGGTTCGTAAATGTTTGAAAATCCTCATCACAAATATTTTGATTGTCACTCATATTGACTCGGTTTTCTTTACAAATACTGTATTATATGAAATGAACAAATAATTAGCACTTATATACTGTAGACATTTAGACATTTTTTGTGGTAATCTTTATCAATATTTACTTATTAAATCTACTTCATACCTTTATGGCAATTATGAGAAGAAATTAGCTATTATTACCTGTATTACAATAATAAACATAATAAATATAATGAGACTGATAATAGCAATAATATTGCCGGAAATAGTGATTCATTATATTTCACAGAATAAATTGTTTAGATAACGTAGAGATAACTAAACTTTTTTTTAATAAATATTAATCTTATAAATTTATACTTAAATAATTAAAATAAATTTTCTACATTAAATAAGTTAAATAAAATTGTTCAATTAATGTTTAATGGATTTATTATACAAATACAACTCATTTACTCAATAATTTGATAAATATAGTGAGAGATAAAATATTATTGCAATTTATCTACCGGATGATGATAATAATAGTACACATTTTTAATTAATTAATTATTTATTCTATCTAACCATAATTAAAATGATAAATAATTATTTTATAAAAATAAAATTAACAACAATTTTTTTATACAAATACTTAAGTTAAACATGAATTCCCTATTATTATTTAAATAATTAACTTACTTTAGTTTGTTAATTCTGATGGATACAAATTGATTTAGAAATTTATGGGAATTGTTTAAACCATTTTCATAATCCTTGTATTCATCCAAAACTTTCTTATCATCTATTTTGTCAATTTTGCTCAACATTTTCAATAGTTCCACACTATCTGGTCTACTATTAGGTTTGCGATGAATGAGCTTGTTCATTATATTCCGCAAACCTGTGATCCTTTGCGAGTCACTTTCATTTGGTATCCTCAACTTATCAAGATTAAAAGTTAGTTAATTATTTAAATTATAAAAATTTAAGTCTAGTATAGAATTAATTATACTCACAAATCACATATAAAAACTGTCTGTCCAATCATACCCAGGCTATACATATCACACAATTCATTGTAGTGGTGGCGTAATCGTTTAGGTTCGCTAACTTCAGGCGCTATATAAGTTTCGTTGCCCGCTGAAATTTATGGGAATTGTTTAAACCATTTTCATAATCGTTGTATTCATCCAAAACTTTCTTATCATCTATTTTGTCAATTTTGCTCAACATTTCCAACAGTTTCACACTATTTGGTCTTTTCTTAGGTTTGCGGTGAATGAGCTTGTTTATTATATAGCGCAAACCTGTGATCCTTTGCGAGTCACTTTCATTTGGTATCGCCAAACTTATTAAGATTAAAAGCTAGTACATTATTTAAAATTTAAGTCTAGTATAGAATTAATTATACTCACAAATCGCATATAAAAACTGTCTGTCCAATCATACCCAGGCTATACATATCACACAATTCATTGTAGTGGTGGTTACTTGTAGATTCGCTAACTTCAGGCGCTATATAAGTCTCGTTGCCTCCCGTGTTTGTCATCGACCTTTTGTCCCTAACTTTAGCCAACCCAAAATCACCTAGCTTCAAACTACCGTCGCTGGCCATCAGAATATTTGGTGGCGTAAGGTCCCGATGCATTACAGGGGGTGTTTGGGTGTGAATATAATGGACTCCCTGTGCTATCTCATGAAATATATGATACGACACGAAGTACTCGAAATGGTTGGGCTCTACATTGTCGGCGCATTTAAATATGGCTGTCATTGACTCAATCAATACATTGAGATCGCATTCACACAACTCCATCATTATGTATATAACGGTGGGTGTAGTCCACGACATGACATACCCGACCACATGGCTGTTTTTCAGCTCTTTCATGATTGACAGCTCTCTGAGATATTTCTTCTCATTTTCATTCAGTTGTTCTGTAGTTAACAGTCATTTTAATTATAATAAAACCTTTTGTAACTATTATATAAATTATAATACTGTAAATAAATTACAATACCTGTCAATTGGATTTCCTTGAGAGCATATTTGCTATGGTCCTTGGTTACTCTGTAAACCGAACCAAATTGTCCAGATCCTATTTTGTTTGTTTCGGTCAATTGTGCTTTTAATTCATTATCAATGTTGTTTTCATTAGCACTCATATTGAGTCAATTTTCTAACCAAATATTTAACATAAAATTTTTCTCTTATATACAGATATTTGTCGTAATTTTATCAAACATTTAGTTTTAAGTATTTCATACGTTAAATGTAATTATAAGAAGGAAGAGTTATTACTTTTATATCAATAATAAACAACAAAATAATGAGCATGATAATAGCAATTACCGTTATATTACCGGAACTAGTGATTTCCGGTACAGTATTTTACAAAATAACTTACAGATAACTAAAATTTGTTATAAGTTTCTATTTGACATATTTTTATTTAAATAATTAAAAAAGATTTGCTAAATTAAATACACTAAGCAAAATTTTACAATTTTGATATTTAATATTGTATCATAAAATACGTAACACTTTTACTCAATATTTTGATAAATAGTTTTGGTTTCCTAAGAGTATGAGATAACAATTAATTAAATTCAACCGATAATAATGCCAATATTACACATTTTTAATAATTTATTTATTTACACAATCTCGAACATAATTAAAATGAGAACTGTATAATTATTTTTAAAAATATAATTAACAACAATTTTACTTTATAAATAATTAAATAAAATATGATTTAACTATTATCTAAACCATGTAATTTATTTTAGGCTATTAAACCTGGTTAATACAAATTGTTTAAGATATTTGTGATTATTCAAAACTCCTTCATAATCCTTATATTTATGAAAAACTTCTTTATTATATATTTTATCAATTTTGCTCAACATTACCAACAGTTTCACACCATTTGGTCTACTAAAGGGTTTGAGATGAATGAGCTGGTTCATTTTATCGCGTAAACCTGTGATCCTTTGCGAGTCACTTTCATTTGTGTTAACCAAACTTATCAAGAATAAACAATATTAATTAATTATTCAATATAACTTTTTCTACAGTCATTGACCCTCTGGATATGTATAAAATTGACTAATCCTTGCAATTTTTATATCATTTATTATGTAAATATAAAATTCATTATTTAGTAAAATACCATTTACTGCTCAGTTTTTATTTGTCAAATAAATATATTTAAATTCTAATAATAATATCATTTAAATCAAATATTTTGCTACTAGATTATCAATTTTGATGGATATGTATGTATACAGATTTTTGTGTTTATTTTGTAACTCATCAGTATAATCCAGGTACTCGGCCAAAACTGTTTCACTATCAACTGGCTCAATTTCGCTCAGCATTTCTAGCAGTCGTCTACTTTTTGGTCGAGCATTAAATCTAACCGTGATCATTTTATTTATAATATCGCGCAAAGTTTGAATCCTTCCAGTTACATTTGCTTCGGATAAACTGTGCGAATGATAAAAACATTTATTATACTATATTTACTACCTTTAAAACTAAATGAACAAGCACACTTACAGGTTATAGACAAATATTTTTTGGCCGCACATACCCAAGCTATAAATATCGGCGGACTGTTTGTAGTGAGAACCCCAACCTTTACCAACTTCGGGCGCCCTATAAAAATCGGCGCCTACTCCTGATGTATGTGTCACCGTCACCGACCCTTCTACCACCTTAGCCAGACCAAAATCTGCTAGCTTCAATACGCCATTCCTGTCCATTAGAATA